GCACCTAAGTTATTAAAGGGAGATGTATTCCATTAAACAAACTTATTTTGTACTACGCTTAACAAGCACACAGGACATACCCATTAAGACAATCAAGTGTAATAAAACTTCATACAGCAATACATCAAGTTTGGCATTGTTTAATGTATTCAATTTAATTGCAGTGTGGGGTAGATGCAAAACGTGGTATAAATCATTCCATCTGCACAGGTCATCTTTAAGGAGCATTTCGCAAAGTGACAGGAGGAACAATGGTTGCTGGGGAGTACAATGCATGTACAGAAATTATTTCAGTTAAAAGGTGCCTTCAGTATAAACCAGAAACAGGAACACTAAATAGGGTAGTGAGCAAGAAATAAAACACTGCTGACTGCACTGCAAGAGATCAACTGTTGAGTGTTATTTATTCAAGATTCAGCCTATCCTTCACACTAATTGTATTCGGAATTGAGCTTTTGGAAGTCAACTACAATTGCAGTGGTTTAAAATCTCCATGTTTCTAGGAATAGGTCTTACTGGAGGCAATTTGGTTCTGTTTTCTAGGAATGTACACTGAGGTGAACTGAAATGAAACCTTAGCTTTTCTAGCTTTGCCATCCAACTTTTTGTTAGAGATTACAATGGAAAGACTAAATTCAGTTCTGTTAACAATCCCCTGGAGTGATTTTGTTGCATCTGCATTTACATAGTACAGACTGACATGAGTTTCTTTGCAAATCTCGTGGATGCAGATGAAAACATTCTCTTGTAAAATGTATGTTCATTATAGGAAGCTCTCGGGAGAGGGATAAAAAAAGTAGCAAAATATTTGAGTTTCATTGAAAATGATGCAAGTGTCATTTTGTTCAGAAAAAAAGTTGGGAGTTGGAGCATTACTTAATGGGACATCTTTTCTTGCACAACCTGTTATCTATTTGTGAAATAATATGCCACAAAAGAAATAGGTGGGTGGATTCTTTATCACATAATATAGTTCCTGTACCTCTCCACATCCCTTACTCTGCCAAAACGATGGCAAAGACTAACGCTGGGAGGGAAGATTCCATTCCACAATAGCAACATATGCCCTTCAATATCTCACCCTATCTTGACATGTGAACATTTACAGGCAATTGACAGAGAGAGGGGGGAGGGGGAAAAGAGGGAGAAAAGGAAGCAAACATAGCCAAGCCCGATCCTATCCTCATCCGATAAATACATGCAATTTGCAGTCATTGAACATTAACACTGATTTTGTTTTCTTTTCTAGTGCCCTTATTCTCCCACCCATCATCACCACCACCACACTACTGTTTGGGCCGAGATCAGCTTAAACCACCGCAGAAGATTTCCATTGTTGTGCTATTAGGTTTTTGTATTTTTTTTGTGACCAACACCCAGCATAGAAATCTGATCAAACAAACGTTTCCCTATAGCCCGCATTGTGCAGAACACGTCTGAACATTTATCAGTTCCTGGAAGCTTAAAACCCCGAAATGGATACTTTAAATAGCATTTGTTAAAACTCGAATGAAATCAAATGGAACAGAAAGTACAAGGTGAACGTGTACAAGGCGAAAGTCAGAATGAAAGCACCAGCTTCCTACAAAAGCACTGGCCACTGCAATGTTCAGAATGCCAACTCTCATGAAAAGAATTGTAAACTTTACTTGTGCAGTTATAGGATGTGAATGCAATCCACATATCACTGCATTAGCAGTAAAGGGCACCTATTATCATTCACCAATATCTGAACTTTCAATAGAGTACGAAGCCACCAAGGTCATAACCAACAAGCCCAACAGGCCTAATGTGAAGGACAGATGTGGCTTTAGGTTAACGGCACAAACACAGGAGGCTGACACGTGTATCAACTCTGAAAGGAAACAAAAACAGAGCGAGCTGGGAAAACTCAGCAGGTCAGGCAGCATCTATGGAGAAAGGAAAGCGAGTCAACGTTTCGGGTCCACGACCCTTCGTCAGAACAGTAGAAAGTTTTCCAGCATCTGCAGTATTTTGAACTCCGAAAGGAAGGCTGACAAACAGTCGCAAGCTCAGAAACTGCTACTCAGAATACAACTCAGAAGCAGAATCAACCAGCCAAAATTATTGTTTTCACTCATTTGTTTTTTTTTGTTTAAAGCACAGGAACCTTGGTCAAAAAAAACAAAGATGTTTGTCTGTCTGACAAAAGATATCCACTTTCACACCCACAAGTTTTCAACCAGGATTTGCCCACAATATTTTCTTTAAAAAACTGTAAACACCTATTCAAACAAGTAGTTCGAAAATAGCCATACACACATCTCATTCCATACACATTTGACGCCTCACTATACTAGAGTCAGTTTTCAAACTAAAATATTTGCCACAAAACCCATTAATCGAACTTCTGCTGATACAGTACTGAAGCCAAGGTTAAATGTGTATAGATACACCCACTGAGAACATTACCCCGGTTACAAATATTGAAGTGCATTTTCTTTCACAACCCAGACAATTTCAAATAGTAAAAAAAAACGATTCTCATTGAACCAAGAGAGATTCAGAATAAGCACATAGCGTAGTGTTCCATTTACATTGGATATTCGACTAATTTTTTAAAAAAAAACTACAATTATTTGTAACATTTGAAAACTACCTACAAAGAGATTGAAGAAATGTCCTCCTGGTGCATGATTTCTATTTAAATCTTATCAGAAGAGCTAACGCCTGGGATTGAAGAAGGCGAAACACAACTTTAAAACAACCAAAAGAGCAAATAGCAATTAAACTTTACTCTCTATACTGCCCAAAGCAGCTGACATTTCCATTCCTCACCATCATCCAGGCTTAGGTTAACCTTTTAAACAGGACTTCCCACAACAATGGTGCTGGAGTGATTATTATTCTGCCTGTGGAGGATATCAAATTCAGCATCACATGATAAACATGCAGCACTTCCTTGACTCTCCTGTTGAAGAAGGTTTAAAAAAAGAACTATTTAATGGAGAGGAGGGCGTGTGTGTGTTTGGAAGGGAAAATAAATACAGGACGAGAACAATATCATTTGTTGAGCAATTAAATGCCACAGAATTACCCAGGATACAAAAAGCTGAAGTTGGCTGACAAAATTCTTATTCTCATATGTGTGCACAGCACAGCACTACCTTTTTTTTAAAAAAAAATAAAAGCCAAGTCGCACATGCATTGAGGAAAATAAGGGCACAGGAACTTCCTTGTTGGGTGTTGAAAAGTGGATATTCAAAACATTCTGTGTAGAAGGAATCAGAAATACTGTACTATTTTAGCAACAAAGGTTTCTGTCTATTTCTCTTTCCACATGACTGAGCACCTCCCAAATTAAAGAGACTTAGCCCTCTCATTTCCTAGTCCATTTTCTATTTACGCAATTTATATTCTTCAATTCTGCTTAAGGTGCTTACATCTGCACAAATTCAATCATTTGTTTTTAATACGCATCCTCTTCAAGATCACTGCTTACTAAGTTCCTAGGGTTACTTTTCAATGAGGTTTTAATTGACCAGGTCCTCTTGAATAGCAACTGCTATGCAACAAAGGATATAGATCAGAAGCCTTGCTGAACTTCATGCATTGGAAAACTTTGTGTAAGCATTAAGCAGCCAAAAGGTCCTTTTGATGCCACTGAACAGTTTTTTGGGGGGTCTACACTATCACCGGAATAGATTCTGAAGTTATTTTTCTAACTTTAGCACCGAATAATTCAATCTGACCTCCCAGATCATTGTAATTTTGTCTCAAGACAGGAATATATATTCTGGTGTGCTAAATTTGAACATGCAGTATCAAATAGCTCTGAAAGGTTCTTTCATCTGTACTGCATGTGTGCGGTGAAGCAAAGACAGTAATGAAATCTAAATCACTGTTCCCAAAAAGCAAACATTTCAATTAAACAAATCAAGAAAGTCAGACTTAAAAGTGCATCAAAATCAACCTCAAGAACAAGTTAGGGGGGAAAAAATTCCAATACCTGAAAGAAAACCCATGTTATTTGTTATGAATACTGGAAGTCCCAATCAAGGTTGCAAAGAGATGCAAAAGCTTTAAAAACAAAGACATCAAACTGCAGCTGCCCTAATCTACGAATTTTATAGCCTCTCAATTCAGAGAACCTTGATCAACCACTGCTAACCCCAACCCCCCTCCCCTCCCCTGTATTCCCAGTCTGAACACTTGCACAGCTTGTCTCCTCCTCTTCTCTGCAGCCCTGGTTTCAATCTAATTTACTATGATTTTAATCAGTCAATTAGTAACTCATTATGAGTCCAACCTACAATTCTGCACTTCAGTTTGAGGTGCAATGCTCTCTTTTCTGCACTGTTCCCACAAGTTATTTTTTCTCTGGTACGATTTTCTCTTCCCTACATATGTCCACATTTGACCATTTTCATTGTACCAAAAGCAGCCAATGCAATTCACAACTCAAACAGTGCCTGTGCTCTTGACAAATCATTGCAAAATTAGTTAAAAAGTCTTATCCACTTGACCCCCAAGCCCAAGCAACAAACAATTCTCTTAACAGCCTCAGAATCCTGAAATAGCAATCATCTGTTCTGTTCAGTGAGGATTTATTTTTGTATATTAAAAAAAAACAAGACACAGACACACAGACACACACACACACACACACAACACAACAAAAGGAAGAATATGAGAGACTGGGTTTCACGACCTTCAATATAAATATTTGATGTTGCATTCATTTAAGCTCGACTTTCAAGGAAGTGCTTAAAAAACAAGCAACCATTTGCAAGTCAATAAAGTTCAGTGGGGGTGGAGGAAATTACAGTAGAGTGCAAAAAAAAAAGAGACTTTCAGCACACATGTCTAAACATGGCGTGAAGGCATTCAAGCTATTGTCATGTCATTGTGTGATACCTTTTCTCCCAACTCAACCCCCACCAGAGACCATCATGGCATTAACCAGCAAGTCACTGCTTTGCTACACTGAACAGTGCAATATATATATATACATATAAAAAAAGTCTGAAAAACCTTACATTTGCAATCCTTCAGAGAGACTATTCTGCAGATGAGTGTTTCCTCCTTTCTCTCTCTCTCTGTCTCTCTCTGTCTCTCTCTTTCTCTCTCTTTTCTGTCTCTCTCTCTCTCTCTCTGAATAAAAATGCAAACACACACACACAAAAGTTCCTTTAAAGATCTGCACAAGATAAGAGGACAACAAAAAAGGCGAACCAACAGCCAACACAGAAGCATGTGATGCAGAGAAGCTGCTGATTAGAATAAAAACGAAATGTGTGTTAAAAAAAAACAGCCACAAATCGACTGAATTAAAACTGTTTGACACACACACACACACAAATAAAAATCCAGTTGTATTTTTTTTTGGGGGGGGGGAGAGAGAAAGGGAGAGAGAGAGAAAGAGAGAGAGAGAGAGAGGATGGAATTAATGTCTTAATTATATAACATGATTTAATAAGGGGGGGAGGGAGAGGGGGGGGGGAGAGGGGGAAAAAATAGGGTGGAATAGATTAAGATAAACTTTACTTACAGTTGCTCGTTGAACGTATCATTATGGAAGCAATTAATAATAGGGAGAAGGGCTGACTCTGCAGTGGTTTAAAAGTTTGCTACTTTTTTTTGGGGGGGGGGAGAGGGGAGGAAGGGAGGGATGGGGTTGGGGTTGGGGGTGGGGGGGGGGGGGGAGAATCAAGTTATTTTTTTAGGGGGGAGAGAAGAGAGATAGAGAGAAAGAAGAGAAGGGATAAATAGTGTAGTAACGTCTCTCTCTCTCTCTCTCTCTCTCTGCACTGCTCACAGTATCCAAAAAAATCTGCACCCGTTGAAGGGGATAACTATCTTTTGAAATAAAAGGACACAATGCAACAAACTGAAAGCAAAAATATATATTATATACATACAGATATGAGAGAGAAACCTGACAGCCAACGATCAATGAACTTTCGAAATGCCTCACCCCCCCCCCACCCCCACACACCCCCAGACACACAGTCTCAACCCCTTAGTTCATTAATAAAAAAAACTTTTCTGGATCTAACATTTTTTTTTGGTGGGGATGGAGGTGGGGGTGGGTGGGGGGGGGGGGGGAGAGATGGGGTGGGGGTTTTTTTTTGGGGGGGGGAAAGGGGAAAAAAAGTATTTTTAAATATACATGTGTATATATTTTTAAAAAAACTTTTTTTAATAGAGAATATATTTCTAATGAGGGAGGGGAGTGGAGGGTAGAGGGGGTTGGGGGGTGTGGAGTGGAGGGTAGAGGGGGGTTGGGGGAGGTGGGGGGGGTTTGCAGGCAAATCAGATCTAGTTTCTTGCAGAGAAGAGTTTTTATGTACTGCATCTAATTTGTGGGGTGTGTGTGTGTGTGTGGGGGGGTGTGTGGGGGTGTGTGGGGGTGAGGGTGTAAACCCCTATAAACAGCTGTCATTAAATATTTCTTTCACACACCATTGAAAAGAGAAAGAGAGAGGGAACGAGTGAGAGAGAGAAAGAGAAAAGAGGAGAAGAGAAGAGAAGAGGAATAAATAATAACAAAAAGAGAAGAACAATTGCTGAGGTTTAAGTTTGTGAACTGACCTGAGGTTCGGTGCTGTGAGTGTGTGAGTGAGTGAGTGAGTGAGTGTGTGACTGGAGCGGGTGGGGATGGGTTTGGATACAGTAACCACTCACTCACTCACTCACTCACTCACTGCTGCGCTCCCACTGAATGAACGCACTGAGCATTTCGTGATTCGCAGCGACCTTTTTTTGGGGGGAGATTCCGGGGGAGGAGGGAGTTTGGGGGGTCTTAAGGGGGGAGGGTGATGGGGGGGGGGGAGAGTGGGGGGAGATTCCGGGGAGGGGAGTGGGGGAGAGGGGGGGAGTGGAGAGTGGGGGAGATGGGGGGGGGGATGGGGTGGGGAGTGGAGAGTGGGGGGGAGTGGAGAGTGGGGGGAGTGGAGAGTGGGGGGAGATGGGGGGGGGAGTGGGGGGAGATGGGGGGGATGGGGGGGGAGTGGAGAGTGGGGGGAGATGGGGGGGAGTGGAGAGTGGGGGGAGATGGGGGGGAGTGGAGGGAGTGGGGGGAGATGGGGGGAGTGGAGAGAGATGGGGGGAGTGGAGAGTGGGGGAGATGGGGGAGAGTGGGGGGGGGGGGTTGCAAACAGAACAGAACAGAAGCAACAACTAGTGCATACATAGATGCATACATACAGAGAGAGAGAGAAAGATAGATAGATAGATAGATAGATAGATAGATAGATAGATAGATAGATAGATAGATAGATAGATAGATAGATAGATAGATAGATAGATAGATAGATAGATAGATAGAGAGAGAGAGAGAGAGAGAGAGAGAGAGAGAGAGACAGACAGACAGACAGACAGACAGACAGACAGACAGAGACAGACAGACAGACAGACAGACAGACAGAGAGAGAGAGAGAGAGAGAGAGGAGAGAGAGAGAGAGATAGATAGATAGATAGATAGATAGATAGATAGATAGATAGATAGATAGATAGATAGATAGATAGATAGATAGATAGATAGATAGATAGATAGATAGATAGATAGATAGATAGATAGATAGATAGATAGATAGATAGATAGAGAGAGAGAGAGAGAGAGAGTGAGAGATCAAACTCCCCCCCCCCCCCCCCCCCCCCACTAAAAATAAATCACTCTTTCGTTTCATTTGAATGATGGATAGAAGAGGAGAGGTTTGAGGTGTTAACCCCTCTCTCTCTCTCTCTCTCTCTCTCAATAGATACACATTTATATATGAGGCCCATACAGTTATATAATCCCTCCCCTCCCATCCTCTGACTGACTTGACCCCTGATAGAGAATGCTCTGTGTGTGTGAGGCACAGCTTCTCGTTGTGAATGATATGCATTATTATTAATAATGATGATATTAATTACGAATGAATTATTATCATTAATTATGGTTAATAATATTATTATTATTATTATTGCTGGGCTCTGCACCCCCCCCCCTTTTGTGTGTGTGCATTAGGTGAGGGTATTGCTGGTTGTCCTGTGGGGTTGATTTGCTGCCCATTACAATTCCCCTGTTACATGTTACATGTTACGTGTTACATGTTACATGTTACGTGTTACGTGCTCGTGCTCGCCACCACCCCCCCGCCCCCACCTCGGTTCCGCTGTAAGGTTCACACGCACACGCCAAGCGCGCTCCCGCTGTCCTCCAGGAGCGCGCACCCTGTCCTGTGTCAGAGGCCACTTGTTATGATAGTGTGTGCGGTGTGTGTGTGTGTAACGGGGGGACAACAATATATAGGGGGAGGGAGATATTGGGGAGAGGGAGATATAGGGGAGAGGGAGATATAAGGGAGAGGGAGATATAGGGGAGAGGGAGATATAGGGGAGAGGGAGATATAGGGGGAGAGGGAGATATAGGGGAGAGGGAGATATAGGGGAGAGGGAGATATAGGGGGAGAGGGAGATATAGGGGAGAGGGAGATATAGGGGGAGAGGGAGATATAGGGGAGAGGGAGATATAGGGGGAGAGGGAGATATAGGGGAGAGGGAGATATAGGGGGAGAGGGAGATATAGGGGAGAGGGAGATATAAGGGAGAGAGATATAGAGGAGAGGGAGATATAGGGGAGAGATATATAGGGGAGAGAGAGATATAGGGGGAGAGAGATATAAAGGGGGAGAGGGAGATATAAAGGGGGAGAGGGAGATATAGGGGGAGAGAGATATAGGGAAGAGATATATAGCGGGAGAGAGAGATATATAGGGGGAGAGAGATATAGGGGCGAGGGAGTTATATAGGGGGAGAGAGACAGATATAGGGGGAGGGATATAGGGGGAGAGAGATATGTGGATGTATATGTCATGATAACTACTCAATTATCTAAAAATAACCCCAAATACCATCTTTTTTTAAGACTTCTTAGACATTGTAATAGTATCGGGACTTTTTTCTCACCCTGTGTACGTGGGGTAAGATATTCCGTGAAGCACTTTGAGACGTGATCGTAATCGTAATAATCCTGGCATTTGATACAGCGCCTTATCACGTCTTCGAGACGTCTCAAAACGCTTCACAGAATGTACTGTAAAGTGAATTGACTGTGTATTTTTGTAGGGCTCTATATCAAATGCAAGGGTTATTATTATTATTATTTTTACTATGTGTGGGGTGGGAAAGAGAGAGAGAAATGTATGGGGAAGAGATTTTGGGGGGAGAAAGGTTAAGACAGAAAAATGGGAAATTAAATTTGTTTTTTTTCAAGATGATCAAAGATCACTTCATTTACTAATTTGATTCTTTGCATTGTTGACTGTACGCCTTTAAATGTGACTTGTTTCTTCAATAAGATAAGTGAAAGCAGAACTCGCAGAAAGCTTTGTGCTTGTTTTAAAAATATGTTCCCAAATATTTTGACTCTGTGAAACGCTTCGAATCGTTTATTCTACTCAAAAGGTGCTGCACAATTGCAAGTTATTATTATTGAAAGAAGTGGAAGTGGAACTGGCAACTGTTATGTTTTGGGGGGAAAAAAATCAAAAGTTGTTTCATTTCCAATGAGTTTAATTCTGTAAAGCATTTTGAAACAGCTGCTTTACACAAACGGTGCTGGTGAAATGCAAATTATTGTTTATCAATTCAAGTAAGTGAAAGGGCCTCGCAACCTTTTGTTGAACAAAAACACAAAATGACTTTGGGGACATTTGTTACGAAACTTTGCTCTATCGAACCGTGCAGAAGAAGGAGATCAAGTGCAGGATCGCAGTGCTATTTATACTGAAAAGTAATTGCATGTTTTGTTTGCCGTGTTTATTAACTCCATATTCTTTTGGAATTTGTTGTTGTATTTCGCCCACAAAATACACAGTCAATTCATTTCGCAGTATATTCTGTGAAGCGCTCAGATAGCAGGTAGCCCCTTAACCATGTCTCGAAGACGTGATAAGGCTCTATATCAAATGTAAGGATTATTATTATTATTATATTAAACATTTATTAATTGCTGTGTTCCTTGTTTGCGCTGTTTCGTATTACTATTCTTGCTATAAATCGTGAATTTCCCAGAATTACCCCTTTAT